TTTTTTATTTTTCTTGATTGAAACAACTCTAGCTAAGCAAGATGCCTTTATTATTTAATTAATACATGGCCATGTGCCTTTATGTCTTATGTCTTTTTTTTGCAGATTTTCAAAATTTATTTTATTTTGAATAATACATAAATAAAATATAATCGTACGATATTGAATACGTTACCTAAATTTGATACTGTTTACTGGCACTCGTTTGTGGTGCATTGCTGAATTAATTGTTGAATATATAACAGAATTTTCTTTTGACCTTTTTTAATTAGCTGTTGCTACTGTCTAGTATTATTGCTACTACAATCTTATTAGCGAAACGACATTGCTTGAGCATAAACCTTCCTTTTCATTCGCTTGTCCTGCTTGTATCATACGTTCTAAAATTGAAATCACTCAGGTTAGTCCATAATGAAGTTTGTGACTTGATAAACTGATTTAATGACCTCATTAAGTCTGGAGAGGAGGATTGTGATTGCGGTGTTTCGCTAGGGCTTTTTTGAGCCGGTCTGCTTCTGGAAGACTATTTTTATCTTCGCAACGCTACCTCCAAGTGGCCCGTTTTGATCGCCTCAGCTTAGGGTTATGGGTGGTGAGGACTTCCTTGTGCTTAGCCCAATCACCGGAGTTTCTAGAAAAATTTCCTGGCATTTGGGATCTCTGTAGTTTTGGCAGGACACCGCAACTAGCCACAATATCGAACCGAAGGTATTGATGGTCGGATAATGTGTTCTCTCTGGTCACATGCCACCACAAGATAAAGGAACGTAGCTAGGAACCGATTAGAGTAAGGTCTAACACCTTCTACCATAATTTCTAACTCGATCTAGAATAATCTTACTCTCCTTCTAAGAAGCATTCAAGAAGGCACTCACCTTCAGGATTTTCATTTGAACTGCCACACACAGTGTTATGGACGTTTAAAATGTAAAGCCATTGTTAATGGTTGGTGATCGATAAAAATTGAATTGTCTAACTTCTTTAGAAATATTGTGACCGAGGAAATCAATACTTGTTAATCCAAAAGCACACTTATTAATTCCTACTTATATCATTAATATGCGGCACGGCACACCGATCAGGAACAGTAGCACAATTCAGTCGTCTAAAATCCCCACAAGGTTCGCACTCGTCTGGATCCCTTTTGGGAATCACACACAGTGGAGACGTAAATTTTGAATTCAGCAGCTGTAGCGACAAGAGACTTCTTATCTACTAAGCGGTTATGTCTAACACCAATTAATAGACCGCGCTTTCTGGGGATATCAGTTCCAATGATAGGCCCGGAAATGTCGGCAATCAAAAATACGAACGACACCTCACGGCGAGGATTCAAATTAATATTGAACAAATTCTTGCTAACTCAAGTAATAATTTGTTTAAGGTGTCAGGTGATAAGTCTTGGGATCTGAGTAGATTTTGAACAGTTACGTTGTTAGCGTTTCGCGAGGTTGACGCAACAGCATTAGCTTCTGAAGAATTAGATAACTCCCAAATACAATAAGCTTCAGTTCTTTAATATCCTTGGCATTCGAACCTGTAAGCGCGGCGCTCAAATATTTAGCAAGAAAACAAAACAAGGACAAACAAGAGGGAAATTTAGCTGGTCTCCTGTTACTTTTTTCGTTGTTTGAGCTCGATTGTTGCAATTTTGGCTTTTCTTCTTGCGCTCTGTGCGTTTTTTTTTTGAATTTTTTTTGTCTGTTGAGAGATAGCATGCAATGTGGTATTAAGTCTGATGATTATTGATCTGATTTGCTGTTGACTATTTGCTTTAACTGGGTGACTGGTTGACCGACTGTTGCTTACAATCTTGAGAACAACGTTGAAACATTGCTTGTCCTTGTTTTTCTTTGCTTTTCTTTAACGATTATTTTTATATTTTTAATTAGTTCCGAGTTCTGTTAAACTTAACGTTTAATGCTGACGTTAAAGTCCTTTCAGGACTTGAATACTGGAGAGGTTATTATTATTATTGTTGTAACTTCTGCTTCTGCCGTTCTATTCATATCTACTTTTAATAATTTCAATATTATTTCTTAAGTTCGCTATTGGTTATGTCGTCTTCTTCAAATGATGTTCATTGATGGGAACTCAACAAATTTTGTAAAATCTGAAGAGAACAAGTTCTCAATGGCGTTAAAACACACAATCACATATTTTGTTTTTCCTTCTCTTATTGTACAATCTGCAATCGTTTATGTTTGGAAATTGCGAGACACACACTTTTGAAAACTTCGATAAAAGTTTCGTTTCGATATATTGCATAGTGCTGATAAAATGCCTTTTTTTGTCCTGGAGAGATATGCAACAAGCGATAAATTTCTAAATAGCGTTACGTAAGTTATCTCAATTCTTTTTCTGTTTTTTTTTTAATATCTTGTTAACGGCACTTGCTGTTTTTCATGTTAAAAGGATCACTGACAGGCAGAATCGCCACGTTACAGGGGTAAAATTATAAATTCAAAAGTTTGTAAGGAATACTCCCATATTTATCCTCACATATTTATGAAGTGCCCTACAGACACTGAATCGAAGTCATAGCCGGCGACATTTCTTTTATTCTTCAGCACAGCTGCGCAAGATTCTTCCTCTGATGTTAGGACCTTGTGTTCCTTCTGGCTTCCTTCTGGAGCTCCTTCCATTATTCAAGATTTGACCCCTTGTTCTGGCGCTCCAGAAGTTTTAGAATTTCCGTCGGCTCCACGGTTTCTTTTTCCGGAAAATATCCAAGAGCTACGTGAGGTCAAGGTAACTCTTCCTCAAACACCACTTTAAGAGTGGTGGCGTCTCGCGACTTTAACGTTGGCATCGCCTTCTTCAGTCACCCTAATGTCTTTTTCCCCTTGCAGGTAGTTACGGGCCAACTTGGGCAAAAAGTGCCGCCGGCAAATTGAGGTTGAGTTGCCTTGACTTGAGCGCGCTTTGTATTGCCCTCAGTTGGCCATCTTTCCAAGATGTCTTGGGATAGTCGACTGGAACAATTCTTACCCTAGTCAGCTGTGTCAGTTCTTTATAGAAGGAAACACACTCACGTTGTGCCATTCGTCGCCACCGGATTGGTGCATGTGACAAACTGAACTGAGAGTTTTCTCTAGTTTGCCTCTTTAGATGTGTCTTGTTCTGCTACGGGAACACTGGCACTTCGGGAAGGGTGCAGCACCCACGTTGCGCTTAGAGCTCTGAGTGGACATTATGCTCTTGCAAAGTCTTAAAGCAGGTGTATTCCTCTTCATTCACTCTGCCCTTCGGGTACATCCCACCTATCGTCCCGTGGACATCTTCCCACTTGAAGAGAGACGGAAAGTGGCCCAGACGTCGTCATCAACGACATAACTAACTTTTTGAGTATCTTTGCCAGTTCGCTTTGATATCGCTCATTAAACAATCGATTCGAAAGAATTATTATACTTTATTTTGAATACATATATCCGCCGATAACACACAGAAAAAATGCTTGTGAAGAAGCAAAATAGTACAATATTTTCATAAACGTAAATGCTCGATATTTCCGTTATTCACGCACGCGCTCTTGAAGATAATCAAGCAAAATAAATAAAAATAAGCGACCAATTCTTCAAGATGGTTTCCCTCTTTTAACGGTTACGACTATGCTCCTCTCTGATAACGTATAAAATTTATGTACAGGTGATGCATATTTATAGCATAGAAAAAACGCAGCACTCGTAATAATTAAAACGATATAAACGCCTTTCCAACATATAAAACAACGTAAAGAAATCGTAAGTTCGTCTTAGAAAGAAACGAAAATATCTCTAATATTTACGTTTTATATAAAATACATTTACACTGCATATTTATAGGAGCTCATTAAATAGAGCCAAGTCATCATTACGCTTTATTACAATTCTGATTCTTGCAAATTGAAGCAAAGACCCCACATGTGAGAAGACTGAAACAATCGATCAATCAAAAACAGAAAGAAGTTATGCTCGGTTGTGGAGTTGGGGTCGGTTATATCCTCAGATAGAAGAGATTTATATAAAACAAAAATATATACAATACGTAAAAACCCGGATTTATTTTAGATTTTTGCTTAAAAGTTTGCGTTCTATGGAAGTTTTATTAACTAAAGTAAACAGAGGTTTGTCTATCTTCTTGCGCGGCTATTGTGTTCAGAGCTTTCCAACTTTTAAAGAAAAAATATTATCTTATTATACACATACATTACATATAGTTTTATATTATCATATATAAATATAAAAAAGAAAGCAACTAAAAACATGACATCACTTTGCCCAACACCAAAATTCATTTATTTTTGCGATCAAATGCCAAAGTAGGCATACTTTTCATGGAAGTCCTTATATGGAAGTGGGACCAAAGTGTGAACTAACGTGATTCAAATCTACTAAATTAAATTCTCCTATCGAAAATTTATCATTCTTCACCTGCTTTTGTTGTAAAGCGTTAAAAATTACAATTTGACAACATATAAGAACTTTTATATGGGGTTGTGTCTAAATAGCTGTACGTAATAACATCAATTTAATTTGCGGACTGACTATTATTCACATTCCTCTCGAGGAAGTTTGACACATATAACTTTTTTCATACGAAGATGTCTTCAAGATTAGTCCCTATATGGCGAGAAGTAGAGCATGTGGTCCGATTGAGTCGATTTAGAAATTATGATTAGTCCTCGGGTCACAAAAGGCGGTATACTAAATATTTCTTCAATCTCAAATGATAAAGGCCAGACAAACGGATGGACAAACAGACAGCCAAACAGACAAGTTTGAATCGGTTTACAAAATGATTCTGAATCCATCGGTCCTACCTTAAGTGGGATAGAAAAACTCAACCTATATTTTAAATGCGTATTAGAAACAACTCCAAGCAATGCATACAAAGAGTCGTACCCGTATCAAGGCGTCTTCAAAATTGCTTTAATGTTAAAAAATGTGCAACAAATTTGTGCTTTTAACGAATCATTTTATAGTCGGAATTTCTTCTTTTTTTTTTAAACATTTTTATAGACGATCAGGTTACTTGTGACGATGTTAGCTGCGGTCCAAAGCAGGTATGCCTTAAGGATTTGCTAACGCATAAACCTAGATGTTCATCTTGCCGCTACAAGTGCTCGCGCAAACGCCATTCAACAGTAAGTTTAACCTTGTCTGGTCAATTCAAGTGATAACTATTATATAACATTTAACATTTTAGACACATTATCGTTTCGAAGAGAGCAAAATTTGCGGAGTCAATAATCGAACTTATAATTCTTGGTGCGAAATGCGTAAAGACTCTTGCGCAACTGGATTCTACATCGATCTTAAGCATGCCGGTGAATGTCTTTAAGTTCAAGTCGTCTTCGCAAAACTTAATAAATATTGTACAAGATAAATAAGCGTACGATGGTGATGTGATGCGTCTGTATTAAGCATTAAATAATAAAAAAATTAATTCAAATGAGTACGAGAACATGAAGTTGTTTACAATAATCGAAATAAAGAAATTGAAGAGATTGAAGAGATAAAAAAAAAAGTAATAAGGTCGTCTTAAGTTGATAATCACAATAACAGTCATTTTTCTGCTTGTAGTCCATGTTCGAAGAAAAATAAAATTTAGAGGGATTGTCAAAAAAAATTTTAATGTATTTTGCTCAAATCGTTGCCGATGATTGCTTACCAGTTTTTCCAGAATATCTCATTTTCTTTTCTTCTTTTTTTTTTGTCCACAAAAAAAGCCTAAGAGTTTACTGATGCGACCGCTGCATGGTTATGGGATCAAAAGCGAATCGGAAGGAGGAAAGAAATTATAAGTGTTCGATCTTGAAGATCTTGATATTAATTAGGGATTCGGATAGAGAACCACACAGGGTAGTTTTATTGTCCAAGCATTGTCCAAAGTTTCTTATTTTTGTATTTTATTTATTTATTCTTAAATTTTATTGACTGCCATGTACATTAAGCTACTCATACTAATGCACTCGTTTTCTAGTTCTCATTTTTATGTGTGTGCATGTATGTTTCGTTTTTGGCGGGATATATTGTTGTTGTTTTTTTTAAACATTGTGGACTTTGTCACGTCGTTTTCGTTCAAATTGGCTTAGTCCATCTCTGACATTTATTCACTTAATTTTATTTTCAATAAAGTTAAAAAAGAAACAAAAGCAAACGATCTGGCAATTTAAGTTGTTAGTTGGGCACTCAACCATTTTTGGCAATTTTTTTATTTATTATAAGCAACTCTGTGCTTTGCCTTTCAACAGGGAATTTAGCGAGGGCGTTGTTCAATTTGATAATAAAAAATTATGCCGGTCTAGGCTAACTTGTAAAATAAAATAAATTAAGAAATTTTATAATGGCGAATTTTCTCTATTGCGCTTGCATGTATTGTGCCGCTTTGAGAATAAACGTATATTCGTTCTCAATCATGCAACAGGTCTTTATTATAAATAAACATTAGTTACTAAATATCACAAAGTTTTCCTTTGTTTTGCCGACGGCTTTTGCTAATTTTTCTTAGATAATTTGGTCCGTTAGATAATTTGGTCCGCTGGATAATGTTGTTTTGCCGACGGCTTTTGCTAATTTTTCTTAGATAATTTGGTCCGTTAGATAATTTGGTCCGTTAGATAATTTCACAGAGTTGAATCTTAAGTTCGGCATTTAAGATTGGCGTTAACATTTAAGTTGTTAGTTGGGCACTCAACCATTTATAAGCGACTCTTCTCTCTGTGCTTTATTAGCTTGTTGCAAGAGCCTTTTTAGTTCATTGGAAATTTTGTCTCTTTTGTCACTTGATTGAATGCTCAAGTTGCCTCTATGTTCCTAGTTAATAGATTTATTTCCGAAAGTTTTTTCATTAACCAAAGCCGATAATTCGCCAGCACTATAACCAATCAGAAGTTTCAGATCGAAATCAAACTTGTACGTAAAACGTTGGCCGGGCACTTAAGATACGATATTACTATTGTAATAGTATCGTATGGATCTCGTTTCATAATTCATAGTAGGTTTATTTTTTTTCTCGCCCCAAAGGCGAGCTACACGTTCCGGATCAGTAAGCTTAAATTCACCATCATTACCTACCCACTTAATTATGTCCACATGTTCGCGTTCAGTAAGTATCTCAAGGAGGAATTGCCATAAGTTTACTTGGCCGTTGTTTGCTTGTTTTTTGATGAAGCTAAACGCTCCTTACTGACGGTTGCTGCTGTTCATGTGGATAACCTTTTTCAAACATAGAAGTGTGCCTAAAGAATTTTCAAATTCAACTGGTACGAACTTAATTCAGCTGTTAATCTGAAAAAGACTTTGTAGAATCGAAAGGCAGTTTACGTTACGATCTTAATATTTTGTTTACTAGCTTGTATCTAAAGGAATACCAAATTTTGTAGCGTGGATTTTATTTTGTCGAAAATATTGAAAGTGCTTAGAGAAGTGGTTTACCTGAATGCTCGTCTTGCTTCTTTTACTTACTAAGATGCTGGTAAGCCGAGCAAACATTTATTTTAATATTTTCATGAATCTTAAATGATAATAAAATATAATATTATTTTTTATATTAATTATCGAAACAGTAAATATATTAATTTCCTTTCTGCGACAACCTTACGCTGGTCACATCCTTAAGTTGGTCACAATCTTTTGTGGTAAGAAAGGATCGATACTTAGATTATATCTTACACATACACATACACATTAAATAAATTTAACCAGAGAATAAATTCTTTTCTTTTAAAGCGCACTTGAGATTTGAAGCCACTCGGGCGGATAACTTGTAAAATTAAATAAGTTTAGTTGGCGTATTTTCCACAACACTATACATACATCTAGAGGAGATGATAGAAGAGCAAAAGCGACCAAACCAAGTCACAATCAGGAGACCATTAAAAAGAATAACAATTTCTTCTATATATATTTTTATATATATTAATAAAGCTATTTTAAGTATATAATAAATATATTATATAAATAAAGCTATTTATATTTAAATAATTATAAATCATATAAAATGTAACAAATATCAATTTATTTATATACTTATTTCATTTAATTATAACATAAATTACAAACTAGAAGTTATTTGATTCGTAAATGTACACACACACGCTCACATTCCTCTTTACGTAAATAAATTTGCGATATTTGCTAAATTTGGAGTTTACAGTAAGTATATTGTAACATAATTATAGATTTTTGAATAACATTCATGTTTTCTCTGCCTTGACAGAATTAGCAAGCAGGGCAGATAGTGTTCAGCTAATTGATTATCAGCCCACATTGAGGAAAGTAGGGAAAAGCATAACGTCCAATGATTTTAAAAATAGTTTCGACACATCTGATGACGATGACCTGTAAAATATATTTACTTGATCATAAAGTAGAGCGAAGCTCCATTCACTTAATATATTCTTTGCTTCTTGGTTTTTCAACTTACATACATACGTATAAATCTCTAATTTTCACAAAATAATGAGATATAAAGACCAAAAAAACCTTTAACTGAAATTTGTTATATAGCGCGAGAGTTCTGGTATAAGTATAGATATATCCTGCAATGAAAGGACTTAAGGCTTAAAATTTAGAAGAAATACCTCCAAATCATTTTCGAGACTACTATCATCAGCACTATCTAAATCACTAGTCTCAATACTATTCTCCCAATCAGATAATTTCTCCTCTTCATCTACTTGGTAATTGTAGAAGTCCTGTATTATTGCACCAAAATGTATAGATATACCCTGTAACGAAAGGAAAAGAAGACATATTGCAATTTACTCATTTTCATTTATATATGGCGTTCATCATTTCGCTTCCGCAACAATATCAATATGTGTCGACAAAATATTAAATTAATAGTTTTCAGCATCATTGGCGTTTTTCGGATCTACTGCAGCAAAACAAATTTTCGCAGAGCAGCAAGAAGAAGACCTGTACATACAAACTTAGTCGTTGTTCGTTTGAATCCATATTTAAAAAATATATTAACTGGGAAAATAGTCTTATTTTTATTTATTAATTAATGTTATTAATTAAAAAATAAAAAATGAATATTAAGACCAAAAGTAATTTAATTATCTTGATTGTTAACTGTTCCTTTGATGGGTCAGACAATGTTGCCGGCAAATGACCGAGGTAGGCATCATTATCGATGCAGTAATTTATGATCATGCGCCAATGAGCATCCAAAAAGCGTGTGTCGGGGTTGCCGTATATCATAAGCAGACAACGAGGCCGAGAAATTGCGAGTCTGGTTGATCTTTCGTTTCGTATGAATCCTAATCCATGGTGCATATCGTCACGTATATGCCCCTTGCTTGATCTCACTCCTGAGATTAATATTATATCGCGTTCTTAAAAACAACCAAGCGAAATTAACATTAGTATTAATTGCAACATTAGTGTAATTTTAAGAAAGTCATACCTGTGCTTGGAATTCCTCCACAATGCCAATTTTAGGCATTGCTACGTCGGCATCAACAAAAAGATTTCGCAAATATTTAACCTGTTTCATGTACGGACTTATGATGCCAACAGATTCAGCTTTAATGTTATGACGATACAATTTGGCTGTCATTAGAAAGACCTTGAAAAAAAAAATAAATTTTATAAAATACTAGATAGAAGGGATTGTACTTTTAAACTAAAGAGAACTTACTTTCTTCGCTTCGTAGGGATTATACCACGACGGCGAGTCTTTTTCCTGTTTGCAAAACAAAAGTTTTCAACAATCCTTGAAAAAGAAAAAAAACTAGGATTTCTATTAAATACTCAAAATGCGCGACATTATTGGCGAGCATTGAAGCTAAACAACGAATCATAAACGCTTACTCTCTAAAGTGCCCATATTTTAAACAAACACATACTGAATTATTGAGAAGTGTAAACAAACATATACGCTGACTCTCACATGTTTGGAATTTTTATGCAAATTATTGAGAACATAAACGCTTTTTCTCTAAAGAGCATATACATGTACGAGCACTTAAATTATGACGTAAACCAATATATTTTTTTAGTCTAAGAATTTATTTCATTAGTCTAAAATTAAAATAATAATAATAATAATAATATTATATGGGCCGTTAATAATACCTCTAATCGTATCAAAAATTATTAAATTGGCGAAATGAAATTTTGAAACTCATTGTATGATACGCTTTAATACAATTTTTTTTCCGAGTGCTTTCATAAAAAAAAATTCCAACGAGCAGTTAATTTAATTTTGAAGAACAAAATCTGCTAAGTAATTATTATTATATTTTTATATCAATGACGAAAAGTTTTTTTCTATTCCACGAACTGAGGTGATATACGGACGCAGACTAACTTTTTCAATTATTTTCAATTGTCCACAAATGCGGATGGGCTTTTTGAATTACTCTCAGATGTTACCAAATTCGAATTTTGAATTATTATATTGTATGCCTTGCTTATCTTCGTTTGAAAGAAAACCAGGAAAGTGTGGTCAATGAACGCGAAAATCGATTAAGTAAGCGATTTTCAAATATTAGTTGCGATCAAAACAAAAGTTACACAAACCGCCTCGTTTTCTATCATTTCCTCCATCAGCAGTTTTTTGACTATAGCGCTCCATTGCTTAAGCTTTGAACCCTAAAAGAGAAATTAAATCATTACTCAGCTCTAAAAAGTGTTTGTGTATATATATGTATATATAATTAAAATTATATATATATATTAAATTTAAAAAAAACAAAAATTTACTTTTGTGTAGATAAAAAAGAATGTTAAGAAAAACTTTTGGTAACACTTATGGAAAACTCCTAACATAAATCTTTACTACTACTTTTTAAATTTTCAAAAATTAATTTTTAATATTTCTGAATACGGTCTATAAAAAGGTGTTAAGGCTGTCTGCATGTAGAATTTCGAAAAAACATAAAAACATGTATGTACATATGTATACATAGCCAAGCTATCTTAATAAGTCCTTCCTTCTTTTAAATTTCTTCATTATAACGGCATTATTACGGCAACCCCGGCCTACTCTTTTTGGACCGTCGTTGGCGCGCGACCATAAAATACTACGTCGATAACGATGCCTACCTTGGTCGAGATTTGCCGGAATTGTCTGTAACTTTTATGTAGTATGTGTATATAGGTGTGTTCGCTAACAACGCCTGCCAAAGAGGATATAGGACCTGAATTATGCAAAAGAACTTTACGTAAATTATTATAGATTGTATGTAGTGCTTGCAAAAAATTTCCACATACAACAGCTCAAGTTTGGCCCCTTTGTCAGCATTATAATTACTTGGACTTATACTGAAATAATCCATTTATGTAAACTTTACGTAAATTAGATTTCATTATCAACAATCATAGCGTTAAAGAAAACAAAATTAATTAGGATGAGGGATCGAATAATTTTTTATTATATTAGTGGTAACAAACATGCCATTTTAGTAGAATTAATTTAACTACTTTTATCATTAATGTCGAATATGTCAGCATTTTGATAACGTTGCTGAGTCTTCTTCATCATTTCCAATTTCTTCTTCTCGGATGAGCTTAACTTTGTGGCCGCAATAGAATCTTGACAACCGAAACCTTTAGTGCCGGTATTACATTCGACATTGATCTAAAATTAAAACGCACTCACTCTCATTGCGAAGTACGAAACGAAATACGTATAAAAGTATAACATACGGGCTCAAGAAGACCTGTGGTAGTCTTGCCTAATGCTTCTCCTTTACTCCAGCCAAGTTTCGAAAGAATTTTGAATCCTTTATTGTCACTAGGGATTTCGCTACAATAATCAAATATAGTTTAGCACTGCTTTTGAAATTCTCAAGGAAAAGAACCCTTACGTGTCCACAGAGGCTGTTTGAGTTTTCTCTTTATCCGTGCTACTGCCAACATGTAAACGTCTCGTAGCAGCTCTGTCATTATAGTTGTTGGAAGTTTGTTGTTTGGCATCAACAAATTCTAAAAACATATAATAAAGGTAATGGTACGTACGTCTTTCCAATAAAATAATTGCCGTTTATCGCGTCACTTACTTTCATTCTCTAAGCCATACTTTTTCTGTAATTTCTTTAGTTGTTCTTTATGCGAGAGAACGACAGCAGAACCGGTAGATGTTTCACGTGATGAATCGATTAACAAACCAGGTTCGCATAATCCACAAGTACTGTTACCTTCGTGCACGTGACACAACAGTTTAGTTTGACCAATTTGCAAAACGCTCCCGTGAACTATATTATGACAGTCACTTTCCGATTTAGATACAGACATACGTTGGCCATTTAACAGAGTTCCATTGCGCGAACCCAAGTCGACGCATTTATAAACCGATTTTTTTGTGTCGTATATAAATTTCAGGTGATACTTAATTAAAAAAAAAAAAACAAGAAAGATTATAAAAACTCAGAAGAGATTTCAATTAACTCACTTTAGAAACGTTGACATCAGGTATAATAACATCGTGATTACCTTCTCGTCCTAAACTGCCGCCTTTATAAGTAATAATACTTAAGCTACCCACCTTTAAGTCTTCAAGATTAGTCTCCTGGACAATTATACGTAAAGAAGGAGGATATTTTTTGGCAATATCTACAAAATAAAATAAAATTACATTGTTAAAGTTTCTTAAAGTTGAAATGTAAGATTGCCATGGTCAGTTTACACGCAAGAACACGAATTTCTTTTCATTACAGTGAAATGTCAAAAATCATACCTTGAAAACGACCACCGCTCTTAAAAACCGGTACCTTTTGCTTGTCTTCCTCTGAGTTAGTATCGCTGTTATCGTTGACGCCGCTACTGCTCGATGTTGATAATTCGCCGTCTTCAATATCCGCTTTAACTTTTTTATCGCTCTCCATGTCACTACCAGAAAGTGAACGTTTACGAGAATGCTTACGTTTTTTAGATTTTTCACTTCCTTTATGCTCTGTGGTCGTCCTGCCTTTCCTCTGTTTATGCTGTTCTTTATCTCTTTTTTCTTGCTCTTTTTCCTCGCGTAATATTTTAAGCTTCTGTTGGTCAGTTACCACACCAAACTCGTCAAATATTACCTCGTCATCGTCCTGCAACTGTAGAAAAGAAATCCGCGTTTTCATCGAACATTCTGGCCTTTATTCTTACCTAATGCATTTTTACGTATTCGACTTATATAAAGTTTTGAAAAACGATTTAAAAGTAAATTATTTACGTAATTGTCACTGGTGATATCCTACAAAAACAGATCAGTTAGTTATTACATTATTCGACATTGTAACCTGAAGCTTAACCTTAACCTTTGTTTTAGTAGGTTGAACCTGGACTTGCGAATGAAATTCATAAGAGTTTTTCTCATCATTGAAACGGTAATAGCATCCTGTGTTACCATCATAATACAATCCGTACTCCTATGGAATATCAGTTATTTAAATCAATTCCGTCAATCAATTTAATGGCTATCGTATGAATTACCGCATTGTAATAATACCCAGAGTTTTGATCATAATATAATCCTGATGTTGGCTCGTAAACAAAGTTGCTGATATTTTGAGCGTTTTGGGCTGCTTGGCGCATCTCGTCCACAAAAGTAAAGGCATCATTAGCTGAAACTATTAAATATTATAGACTTTAGTTAGCTATCCTTAAATCCGCTTTGCTATCGAACGAAACCATAAAGAAAATCAAGCTGGTTGAAGATATAGAATTTTTATAAGCAGTTCGAAAAGTTTCTAGAGATTTTTCTTTCGAGTCAATCTCAATCTATGTGCGGATAAAGCAGAATATGTTGAAGGTTTGGTTAAATCATGATCGAAAATTTAGCTATGGGTTTGGCTCTCGCAAATTTTTAGGCATACATAGAATTTTCTGGAGAAATAATAAATCTATTCAACTATTCATCGCCTCTTGGTCGTTGGCTTAGATATATAACATAAGGTTCTAAATCTTTAGTAAAACTTAGCTTTTAAGTCTCTGTGTTTTATAAAATGCATCTGAAGAATTAATATTTTGGCGCATCTCTGTAAGCAATAAGCAAGTTCAGGAAATAAATTTCCTGCGAGAATCGTCTAATGCAGAGTCGTCAACACTTTACCTCAGTACATGCAGTTGTTCTGAAGGGAGAACTGTAATAGTGCTCATAAATAGACGCTTACAATAGAATTTCTGCCGATATAAAAACGAGTAAAACGTTACAGCGCAAAGCTGACATCTAATAGGCTTCTGCTGATAAAACTTCGCATTTGTTTTCTTGATAAAATAACGAAAATTGTAATCTGGACGATTACACATTATTCTTGAGCTTTTTGGTTAGACAATACAAAAAAATCTCCCTAACTGGCGCAGTAAATCTTCTTGGTAAGTTGCTATTACAGCTGTGCTTCATGAAGAACTACTTTTCATAGGAATCGTTATAAGGAAGGAGTTTCAAATGATTCCAAATTACTCACATTAGTTTAATAGACCGAATTTTTGAATATTTCAAATTTTTTCATATAACTTATCTACATAGAGAATGATTGTAAAGGTGGTCGAAACCATTTTTAACATGATTTTTCTTTGCGCCCAAAGATGTCAACGGAACAAAACTCCTCAAAGTATTTAAAAAATTTGCGAATCGTAGATTGAAGACAGAAACTTTTGGTGGAAAATAAGGCAAACAGGCTGGCTGACAACTTTATATGCCTCGATATGCAAAAATAAAAGGCGAATCTATATGAAAAAAATTTTCCTCAAAAACTTAGTACGCTATGTACCATAAGGGTATGAAGAACAAACAACTTACTTTCATTCGGATCACTTGTTTCGTTTTCGTTTAAATGCTTATTTTGATCTTCGTCTTTTTTGCTTTGTTCCTGTGTAGTCACTTCTTCGAGTAAACGGCTTTGATCTGTTGATTTTATTTGATTTTGTATGATTTTGGGCGAATTTTGAAAACCGTCAACCTGCTTTTGCTAAAGAACAAAACTGAAGAATGCCTTGCAATTTTCTAAATTGCAACTTACCAATTTTTTCGTCTTGGCTTTGTATTTTTTTAATTTTCTTTCATTCCGGTTTAGCAGATTGTGCAGACGTTCTATATATTGAAATAATTTGTCTTCTTCCAACTGCCTCAATTCCCTGATGGTTTTTTGTAGAAATCGTTTAGATTTCAATGATTTTTCACATTTTTCACTATTTTCAGTTTCACTGCTAGACATTGTTTCGAACAACCACACAAAATCCAATTATCTTGAATTACGTTCATGATAAATTCATATTCCACAAATATGATTACCAAAGCTCTTTAATTATTACGGTTAAGAAAACGGAGGAATTGATATTAAGAGAGACTTTTGCATTAGCATTGAGTATAAATCAAGCAAATTTACCACAATCTCTCTTTTAGAGTTGCATTTGTAAAATAGCGGCGGCGAAGGAAAATTATGAAAATTATGAACGACTATTAGAAAATGAATTATTAATTCAAGTATTTAAAAAAATTTTAAAAAAATACAATGTGTGGCTAAAATTACATTTGTGAAGTATGAAGAGAAAGAAAAAAAAATTTGGTGATAGTAAGTACAATTTTTCTCTTAAAAGTCGACCTAAATTAATTACACGCAAGTATTCTTTCTTTCAAAGTAGAGTTTCGCAAATGTGTTTTCAAGCTAAATTGATTTGTATGCTTACGTCTCCTTTTAATGTAGAAATTTGAATACTCATAAATTTTTAAAGCCATAATTTTGTGTATAGATGTTTTTGTGCTTTTCTATACACACAATCTTAATATCGTGCTTCTTCGTCTTCTGTTATTCAGCAAATTAACAACCAAAAATTCGCTGGGATGTGTAAATATTAGTTTGGGGAAAAAGAAATCCATTATTTTTATATGAACTTCAGGACTTTATTTAACATGCTTCGGATTGTCCGATTTGGGTCAAATATGCACCATTTTGTTGTATGATTTGTTGCCATTTTAAAGGTAACTTCAAAATGCCTCTCTCATAGAAGTCTTGGTCTCTATTTGCAAAAAACTCTAGTAGTCGATTTTCACAATCCTCCCTAGATTCCAATTTTTTATCATTAAAGAAATTTTGCAATGCAAGAAAAAGATGATAATCGCTTGGTGCCAAGTCCGGACTGTATGGCGGATGCATTAAAACTTCCCAACCAAGCTCCCGAAGTTTCTGGCGAGTCACTGTAGATGTGTGTGGCCTAGCGTTGTCCTGGGGGAACACGACACCTCTCCTGTTGGCCAATTCTGGCCGTTTCTGGTCAATCGCTATCTTCAAACGGTCCAGTTGTTGACAGTAGAGATCAGAATTAACCATTTGGCCATATAGAAGCAACTCATAATAAAAAATCCCCTTCCAGTCCCACCAAATGCATAGCAAAACCTTCCTGGCCGTTTGAGGTGCTTCACCGCTCTTTGACCACGATCGTTTTCGCACAGGGTTATAGTATGTGATCCATTTCTCATCTCCAGTCACCATCCGTTTAAGAAATGGGTCTATCTCATTCCGTTTGGCCAAGGCTTCGCAGATGGAAATGTTTTTTTCTGTTAATTGGTGTGGCACCCAAACATCGAGCTTCTTTTTGAATCCAGCTTTGTGTAAACGGTTTAAAACTGTTTTATGGTCGATTTTTAGCTCCTGGGCGATGTTACTACTGCTAACATGCCGGTCAACTTCGATCATTTCTCCGATTTTATCGACATTTTCGACGACCGGCCTACCTGTGCGAGGTGCATCTTTAACATCAAAAATTCCTGAACGGAATCTACGAAACCAAAATTGCACATAATTGGCTGTTACAGTATCGGAACCAGAAACACCATTCACAATTTTAGCCGCCTGACTTGCATTTTCGCCTTTGTCAAAGAAAAACTGTAAAATGTACCGAATTTTCTCTTTGTTCACTTCCATTTTTAACACGCTGTAACTCACAACTGAATGCACCAAACAAAAAACAGGAAAAGAATTTTTTTTACTGCGAAATGGACAATATGTAAATGTACAGTAACGGAAATTGTTTGATCGATACTTTTCGAGAAATCTATCAGTGCAGCAATCTACCGAAAAAATAATGGATTTCTTTTTCCCCAAACTAATATATGTAAGCTTGCCGCTACTCTCACAAAAGCAAGCATAGATCCCGCAAAATCATACGATTTTGCCTATGCTTGCAAAAGCAAAAGGAAAAAAAAGGAGTACCGCAAAATCATACGATTTTGCCTGTACTTGTAAACAAGGAAATCAGAGAAGAGTAAAATAAACATATCCCGCAAGATCATACGATTTATTAGCGGTACCACAAAATCGCAAGATTTGTCTAACGGCATGCCGTTATCCCGCTCCTTGCGGTTGACACAGACCGACAGACACCCTACCCAAGGTTTGTTCGCGGCCGTTACAAGTAGTTGAGAGCGTCCAAGGAAACTGGAGGCTCTCGCCCACATGTACGAATTATATCTTAATTGAAGCCGAATATAGGCGGCGTATTATTTTTTGCTCTTCTTTAAAAAACTTATGGCATCAACTGCATTTTTCGTCACTTCGATCAAATGTTCTATCCAACGAACACCGCTTTGTATTCCCGTTCTTATCAAGGATTGACAATTTTTATATATGCTGCCAATAGAAACGGGTCGTTCATCAACTTCCCTGTCGTTAGCGTTGAGCTTTAGTGGTGTTAAAGTTTATTCTATTAGTCTTCCTCGTTCGGAGATGTTTTCGAGATCTATATTAGATGTGTCTCTCATTGTGCACCGCTTTTTATGTATCTCATTGTTGCACTGTCTCTTGCTAAAGTAAATTAAGTGACACGAGATGCTGTTCCCTGCAAACGAGTAGATGGGGGTTTCTGGTACGCAAAGTAGGTTGTTCATGAACATCAGAAAGAGAAAAGGAGAAACAACAGAGCCCTGCGGTGCATGTGCACTTAAAGCGCATTCGTTTGAAGAATGACTCTCGATTACAAGTCTTACCGAATGTTATCTAAAAAACTCGACATGAACCGAGCGAAAATGCAATAAGCTTTACACAAAAGCGTCATGCCAAGGCCTGGCGAAAGCCTTAGAAATATCAATCCTTCTTTCACCAAAGTGACAAGTAGCTCAGCGCCACTTCTCAGTAAGATAGGCCATTAACATACCTATGGATCGATTTTCTCCAGGGTTTTAGCTATAGCGAAACAAATTCCAACTGGACGATAGTTGACAAGATTTGGAGCGATAGACGTTGAAACCACCAGCAACAGCGATTGAGCTGTCGGGGCAATTATGTAGAATGGAAGGTATTGTGTTGGATAGGGGTTGAAAACCTTGTCCGAGTTTTGACTTCTTTAAGTAAACGCGAAATGCGACGTGTGTGTCCATATACTGGATTTTATCCACAGGGGTGTAAATTCGGGATGCTGTGCTATATTGTTCCAGGTACGGGAATACTACGTCATTGCGAATATATATCCCCAAGCCTCTGTGTGATACGGAACTTTGAATAATTTGGTAACTAGGTTATGTAGGACCATACCGTAGAGGCCTTTTCGTCTACCAAGGGTCTTTTCTAGCAGGCCTCCGTATCCGTAAAGGAACGTTGGCCTTAAAATTCGTCTCGTAACAAAGATTTACGCGTAGAAATGAACATGAATATATTATCGCCTACTTTTTATAGACATTATAAAATATTGTGTGTATAAAACTCATGAAGAAAATATTACACACTTGGGCGCTTATGAAAATTTTGTTAAGATAATTCAGAAAATTAAAATTATAACAATAGATGTTTACGTTTTTTTTCTATCATTTTCAATTTCTTATTTGGAACGATTAGATTGACAGCGGAACAGAGCCTCTCATTGCGAACACTCTGCCACATCAGTCTACCTATGCTTAAATTTTTTCACCAATCGCTCTCAACTTCGTTTCTGGATTATGGATCTAACATTAACTTAACTGGTCCAATCCATCTCTAAACAAACAAAAAAAAAAGAAAAAAAAAAAGGAACGACTAGAAACGAAAGAGTTTGTCTCTGTGAAATTCGCTGTCGTGCATATTCGGATCGAATAGATTTAAACACATTTTAATTGTATTGATATCACTGTTTCTGTTAAACGTGCTTTTGTGTATTTTTTAAGACTATGGAAAAGACTGTAAAATTTGTGTTATTTTTTGTTATTTTTATTGCATCGCGATTCACAGAAGCGACTAAATTAAACTATCCAAGAGTTCTCTTGCCTATATTCAGAGAAATATCTGTCAATTTTACCTTGGAAGCAACTGAAAAAGGCTGCTTTAAATGGTGAGTATTGATCCTTGTACTGTTGTTTAGCCGGCAAAATAAAGAACAAGAAGCAGAAAAACAAACAAGAGCTATATTTAGATTAAGAAATTGCGCGTGCCGAAACTAAATCGTCTTTTCTATAAAATAAACCCTTCTTTTTAATTTTAAACACCTATCAGAGGCGATCTTTACTTTTACTTCAAAAAAAAAAGAAAAAATGGACTAAATTGTTTTATTAAAAAAGGCAAATTCAATTATGTCCTTACGATGCTTCAGTCAAAGTTTGCAGCAGTATTTTCACATCGCTATAAACATTCCTCCTAATACATTCGACATATAATGGTCTCACTTCCTTTTTGATTTTACACATAAATACATATAGCTATTACAAATATCACCATATTCTATTATCTGAATATATCTACCAAAATATCATTTGCAGGACATCATCCAGACAAGATTTGATATTGATAACCCCCCTTTATGAAGACGCTGAAAATGAGTGTTCATATATGGCCGTGGTGACTGTATTGTCGCGGAATCCTCGGCGTAATACAGCTATAGTATTAGCGGAAAATGCAGCAACGGGCGATTCACTTCGATGCGATGTAATACTCGATGTTATCGATAAACTGGGAGTAATTACTACCACTCGCCAGCTTTACCTTGAAGAGGCACCAGAGACTTTTGTTTTACGAGCTGAAGATTCTCAAGGCAATGCTTTTACTACTTTGGAGGGCGTGTCGTTCAATTGGTCAATATCGTCATTAAAAAAAGACAATAAAGATTGGGTTCCCGCTTTAAGATTTTTAACTTTCGCTGAAAGTTCATATCATGAGGTGCCTTCATCGTTAGAAAAATTTGAATCGAATGGGTTAAGAGGATACATGGTTCTTTTAGAGGGCATTAACACCGGTCCTGCAAAAGTAAGCGCATAATTTAAAACAAAATGCCTTCTGCAGTGAAAGATACTTTTTTCAATTCTTTAGGTTACTGTGAATATGCCTTACCCAGAATATAGTCAGGTGCCAATTATTGAAGTTCATATTAGCGTATTGGCTAACATTATTTTAGAACCATCAGATGTATTCGTTTTGGAAGGCGATAAAATAAATTTTCGAATATTACAATTAAAAATGGGTAGATTGACAGAGATATCTCTCAGCAATCAATATTTTATGGAAATTGATGACAACGAAGTCGCTAGTATAAGAGGTAAAGACGATGTGAATGTCAACTTTACAATCAATGATATTAGATAAATACAAATGATTGATATATACATCCAAATTTATATTTATATATATAAAGATTATTAAATGTTATTATATTATTCTTTTAAATGAAAAATAATTAGGTACAAGTGCTACAGCCCTTAAATTAGGTCGTACATCGGTTATTTTGCGTGATCGAAACGTGCCATACGGAGACGATTATTTCGATGATAGCCAAATGACCAAGCCATCAGCACCTAGCGCACGAATTACTGTAGCAAATCCGAAAAAATTAAGTCTAAGTCTTCTACCACACAATAACTGGATAACTGTGGAGGGTGAAAGACATGAAATAGCGCTGGATTTGTATACTAAGTAAGTATTTAATATAAAAAATAAGCGAAAGTTTACGCTCATAGCATTTTGCAGAGACGATCAGAAAATTATGCTGGGCTCACGTTATACCACAAATACTGAATTAGATGAATCACTGTTTCGTGTCATTAAACGTAGTAGAAATGGTTCGCGTATATATGGCGAAGCAATGAGGACAGGCGTCACGCCTGTTTATGGATCGTTTAAAGAGGTTTGTTAAACTAAATTTTCATCCTTCGTTTAATTTTGAAAAAATTTTCCGCTTTGTGTATAGCTAACTGTACAAGCTGAACTACATATATTTGGCGAATTGAAAATAAAGCCAGTCAAAGTCATACTGCCTTATGACCCGAACGTTATCAAAACACAACGAATTCATTTTCAAGCACAAGGTGGTGATGGCTCCTACGTGTGGCTGTCCTTACAACCTCGGCTATTGCACATAAATCAGAATGGTGTGGCCACGACGGTGATAAGTGAAAGTGATAACAAACATTTTATGGATTCTCTTGATAGTAAGAATGCGGTCGTCGCACATGCTCACGTTAAAGTCGCTTTAGCTAAAAATTCAAAACTTTCGCGCCAGGCAGATATATATTTTGTTCCACCTAGTAGGCTGGAAATACTGAAGTACAATTTTGAAACTGCTTTGAGAGATTTTGTAATATTACACGTTGCTGTCTACGCGCAAATCAATGGGACTTTAGTGCCTTTCTCAAAATGTGAGAATCTCGTTTTTGATTATGAATTTTCGAATCCAATATTTCAAGTGGATTACAATGCGGCTACAGTTGGCATAGCTCCAAACGCTTGTCAGGTTGTACATTTGCGTAGTTCGGCAGTTGGTTTTACGCATTTGCGTCTTTCGTATAAGTTCAAAGATAAAGTTCTCAAGGATGAAGTTTCGCTTAGCGTGTTTGAACCCTTGGGCGTTTTGTATCCCGCGAGTAATGAGATTATCCTCCCCATTGGAGCATCGTATAATATTATCTATGCTAATGGTCCTCAACGTATTTATACCCTTGAAGCTGAGCTTACCAAAAGCAGTGAATACGACTTGAATGTCGCCCGTGTATCGGAAATTAATTTTGACACTCAAAATAATTTGTATGCTTACGTAGTTCTTTGTCGAGAAGTTGGCGAAACTCCGCTCACGTTCACTATCTTTAACGCGTTGTTTACATCAAGTTTCCAACCATATATATCTTCGGTCGTCACAATGATTCATTGTGTTAAGCCACGTTTTCTAAATCTTTACACCAGTGAACAGGTACGCTCCTCGTGTCCTTTAGAGATGAAAAGCTCTTTGCTTCAACTTAAAGAGCGCGATGATAAATTTGAAATAGAAATTGAAGTACAAGACGTTAAAAATCGCAAATTATTGAATATTACATCGCTACTCATTCATTGGGAGTTTGCAGGAGGCGACCAAAGATATCAAGTAGGAACCATAATGCATAGCCGTCACACGGAAGAAGAGATTCATGAAGGCATCCATTTGCCGAGCAAGGATATACTAGTTGCCAACTTGAACCAAGTGACTCCAAATTTTCGCATTAAAGGCACGGTTACAAATTATGATGAGTTAATCCTAAGAAAAGAACACATATATTCAGAGGAGCCACCGTTTGGTATTAAAAACGTAAGAAAATACATTCGCTATTGATAAATCAAAACTTTCAAAGAAAAATTAATATATTTTTTCTAAACGCAGCCAAAAACTGGGGAAATCCTGACACCGATTATCGAAAATGAAATTCGTTTTATGACAGTCAATACTACCTTCTTCAGTAGCGATCATATCAGTGTGTTTTTGGCAAAGAATCGACGTGAACGCGTACCAATGACACAAGGAAGCGGTTTTTACGAGTTTCATCTAACCGATCCCAGCATTGCTCATGTGGATTTCGACGTCAAAGAGAGGACACTTGTTATTACACCTTTGCATATTGGACACGTAAGTAATCAGGCTGGATAAATAAGCAATCTGTCTGTAAATATACTTTTTTCAACAGACTCGTTTGGAACTGGTGGATCGTTGTTTGACCAATGAACCTGCCTATTTATCTATTTCAGTGGTTAGTATTGGCGAAATACGTGTACGCGCGCCAGACCGTGTAGAGCGAACCAAATCAATAACAGCTATTATTCAATTATATGATACTTACGATAATTTGATACGCGTCGATCCTTTTAATTTGCAAATGTATGAGTTGTCCCAAGAAATATTTAGTGCAAACATATTAAGCATCCAACTGGGAGATCAAAACAATTTAGATGTTGGCGAAATCAGGTTAAAATTATAGACTTAACTTGTTAGTAACTTGTGCTTACATTTTTTCATTGAATTGCTTTCTTAAAAGATATATAATAACAGCGAATAATTTGGGTGAAGCAAAAATTGTATTCAGTGCTGGTAGCGGTGATATGCTAGTATCCAGCGAACCAATCGACATACAAGTGAGTAGCTGCGTCACATATATTAAAAAGAAGTTAATCAAGAACTCATTATGAGTTTCATTTCCCAGGTATTTCCTCCATTAAGATTGTATCCACGCAACTCTACCCTGGTAGTTGGTTCAAATATGCAAATTTATTATCAAGGCGGACCGCAACCGGATGTAAACATCGTCTACCATGTGCATGACCATAAAGTTATATGTAAGTATGCAGATTATTTAATTTCTTTTATGTCATAGTTTTGATGAATTTAGCAATGGACTCTGCTCTTGTAACTGCCCATAAATTGGGGGAAACGAAGATTACTGGTAAATGCATTGTAAGAAATCCCAGCAATGATAAAGATGAGGTAATATCAGAGGATACCCTTGAGATACATGTTGTGCCTTTAGTCAATATACAAATAAAGACACCGTTAGTTAGAATACGCAGTGGGGCAATAATGCCCGCGGCTATATGGGGTAAGTGCAAAGAAAGACTTAACAAATACTGTTATTTTTTCAAAGATGTGCTTTTCTAAAAGGGATGCCTAATTTGTCGCCTATGATTTTGGGAACCTTGGCTAACATGCATATATCCTGGTCTACCGATCAACCGGATATTATTGAAATTTACAATATTTTTGCTGATGCAGGTAAAAAATTTATATAAAATCATTACTTTGTCTCTACATGGGTGAAGATACAGTGTCTGTGTGAAAACTATGCTAGCGATACTCACAATAGGCCCATATAATATATAATATATGTTTTTTGATGAGCCTGAAAGATTAAGTCTTACCTCAGGAACAGATACGAGACATACAAATGCTTCCTGTAAAATTATTTTGCTTATGTTTTTATCAATTTTTTTCCTTTACAACCAAAACAGGTATTAATTATGATGATACGAATTTGGTAACTGCGCGCCTCAAAGCTTTAAACCCTGGGAAAGCTAAAGTCTTAGCATCTGTAATACTACCAGGAGGGCAAAAGATTTCGACGTCTGTTGAAGTTGTTGGTAAATTTCTTCTATTATTCATTCAGAATATAATTACATTTTAGGAGTTTTTAAGACTTTGTTGGATAATGTCTCAATCCGCGACCAATTATCATCTTCAGATTTTAGAATTTAGTCTGTGAAGTTGAGAAATTTTGATGCTTTTCAAGATCTCCAAAACAGGAAGTAGTTGCAAAAAGATGGTTCAAACATTTTTAAATATTTAAAGATCACTAAAGACGACTGGCAAACAAAATACCGTATGAAGATTAGAGATGCTGAAAGGCGTTTTTTCGGCCTTGTATTGTAACGTTACGACAATTTGGAACAAATAAATCATGACAATGGTCACTAATTTCGGCAAAGCTGAATATTTGTAATCGCAAATTTAGCCTACGAGTTCAGCGAGGCGGAGGTGGTGCATCATTACGGAAATGCAGTAACAACAACTGATGCAAATGGGACAATCTTAAAAAAAAAAAAAAAAATTTAATAAAACAGATAGTGAGAAGATATTGTTGGGCGATTTTTTAGCATGGGGCCGATGGGCTACAGTCCAGCTTGCCACGTCTATTGCATTCTCAAGGTATCTCTGCCTACGTTAGAATTAGTTTTAGATAGTGGTTTATCACATTTCGTGTATTGTCTCAGAGCAACTTTTTACGCTACCGAAAAGATGGAAGAGTTTCTTAGTAAACATGCAGTTTTACCAAAAAAAAAAAATAAAATATAATTATATTCCCAATAGCTTAAGCTAACCATATTTTATAAATTATTTTTTAGTTTTCAAAATTCTGGAACTTGAATCACCTAAGCTAATAACTACAGATAGTATTTTGTTGCCACCGCGTGCTACTGTACAGTTAAAGACAAACCTCGATGATGCCGTTTTTCGTTTATCAAGCGAAAGCAATTCAGTTGTTCATGTTAGTTCTGACGGGATTATACGTTCTCAAGACGTTCTTGGTCGTGATCTAATAATTGTAAGTGTTCGCAGTCTTTGATTGTTTCTTTTAAATTTCGCTCTATTACACTACTTTTAGGCGAAAACTTTCGACCAATCATTGGCAATCGATGTTGAAGTGAAAAATGTACAGTATATCTTAGCATCACTGGATTATCCGACAATCAAATTAAAACAGCCTGCGAAAAACTTACCAAGTGGTTTAAATTTTGTTTTAAAAATTTCCTTACACGATAACTTGGGTAACGAGTTTTCCCATAACGTTGAGGATGTAACTGGACTGAAGTACGATATTTCTCACAAGGATATAGTTGATGTTCAAATCGGCAATAACTTAACAGTTGCTGTAAGTAATAAAAAGTAAAGTATGATTTATCGGATAGTTCAATAGAAAGCAACAGAATGGCTCTCTTTGCCCCTTTTGTTTAGCTTGTTAAGACGGTCTAAGCGGGTTTCCTTTAGCACCCCTTAATTAATAGAACCCTAAATGTATTTATAATGCATTAGTCTGTCTAAACGATATCACTTAAGTGTTCCGTATGTTGAATTTTCGCTTCCATTTCGACCTCTCCCCAGTCCTATGGATACTTCCATTTATTAAAAATGAATATCAGAAAATGGCCTTTTTAGATTACTATCGTTTTTAATTATGATGCAGTCCACCAGTGCACTTTTGTTCCTCGTAACGTGCAAAATCTATTTAAAGACTAAATTTGGATTTTTTTTCATGAAGATTTTTTCATACCTTTAAATGTTCTGAATTTTTTCCTTCCATTTCATTGCAAAACTTGCGAAGCAATCCATATGTTCATGGTATCTGTGCGTTACGATATTGTCTTATAGTTTGTTCTTAATGCACAAACCGTAGCTTGGCCACAAGTTTTTCAACGGTTTCGACCGCATGTTCAAAAAAGTAGAAAAAAAACAAAAATGTTGAAGAAAGTTTTTTATAAAGAGGAGAGAAATGCCACAACGAGAGCTCTTTAATCTCAGCTTGAGATATTGCACAAAATTTTTCTTTTTTTTTTTTAGTATTGCATTAAATATGTATTATGGTGTTATGTATGCAAGTTGTGCAACAAAAGTGGGTTATTTCATTAGAGGTTTTTAAAAAGCTTCTCTAACATATGCTTTTAACTGAATGTTTAATATTGTAAATTACAATATAGTTAGAAAATAGTTATCTAAAACCATTTGACTTGGTGAGGGTTAAACTTCTTTTTGGTTTAAAAAAACTTATATCGTCTTCGTCGTCATACAATACCACAAAAAAGAAAAAAATTCTCACAAAAGAATTTTGACGAATGAGCTTTTATTCTAATGTACATGATGAAGATTTCGTGCTATTTCCGCTTTCAATCTTAGCCTATTTGGTTTTTAGAACCTTTAGAGAAAAGCAAAAATGATTTGTCTAAATTGTGATATTATGTTGTGTTCGGAATACTTGAATTTGATATCCAGATCGGAAAACTTAAATTACACGTCTGATCATTCGCCACTCGGTGTTAAAATAGTCCTACTTCTACTTTGTTAGCATCGACAAACGGTGGGCGCATTAAATTGATGTTGGACGCAACAATATTTGTTTGTTTTTAAAAAGGTTTCTTAGTGCTTCTTGAAAATTTGGAAAATTTGGAAAAATTCTTTTTCACTTATGACATTCTCATTTTTTGGATGCAAAAAATTTTTTAACAATTCGTTTATTTTTGCTATTCTTGTTTCTTATTTAGGTAAATTTGCCACGCGAAACCAATAACATGATAGCCATAAGTCTGAAGGACAACATCGGAGTGAAATACGCTGAAGATTACATTAAACTGGCAGTGCGCGAATCGAAATATGTGTTCCCAGCAAAAGTAAGTAAAAAAGCGGACTTTGTGAGTTCATCAGGATATATGTGCAATAAACTCAGTTCTACTAAACCTCCTATTGAACGGAAATATTTCTTTGTTTTTACCGCCTTTTTACCATCGACAATTTTTTACATATATTTTATAATATAAATTATTAAGAGATTTTCGTAGGCTACTGTATTGGTTGCTTTTCTAAATTAGTTAATTACTTGCAGTAGCCAGCATGCTAATTGGAGACTAAATGAACAAGAAAATATATTTTCTACTTCTTAACTTCTGAGCCGACTTCGACATTTCAGCTAACCGCAAGTTAGTCTTTTTACGTGTTACTGATAATTTGAAAATATAAATGAATAAAGTAAAACAAATAAAAAGACTATAGTAAGCTATGGCTCACCATTAAATATCCTACACTCTCCTGCAAGTATTCATGTAATAAGCTTTCAAAATAATTTGTTGTATGGGAAATGGTGGAGAGGTTGTCTCAAACGAATCATTTTCAATAGTTTTCGCCTTTGGGTTGAAACACGCGAAAATTTCGACGTATAAGTTGAATATAAGGGAAAAGAATGCACGGACTGACAGAAAGGCAAGATTCGACCGGCTGAGAAGGTGATGTTCAATCGATCGGCATAATAAAAGGAGGATCTATTCCAAATGCTTCTAGGTCTTACATGAGCCTGTACGGCTACAAAGTTCATATTTTGAATATCTTGTTTTTGGGCCCACACTGAAGAATGTTTTCTCTTCGAAAACATCATGAGAAGTGCTTTAAGAAATTCCTATTGAACTTATAATCTCAGGTAGACAGAAAAGATATATCGAATATATCTATTGTGACAACTTCAAATATATGCCGATGAGTTTTATCCTCTCTTTTCGATTTAATAATTAGATCATATATTAATTCCTTCATTTAACTTCTTCCTTCCGCCTCTACTTATAATCCTTCCTGACCATCACCGCATCCGTGCCAACATCTCTTAAGTGTGCAGTTAAATAAAACAAAAAAAAAAACTTTGTCATGCAAAGAACTTGCCATCGTACACTTTATATTAGACATATTACTTTATATTTAACTTAGATGAACGTATATGCGTGCATAGTATATACGTAGTCTAGTTTTTAAAAGTGTTCAGTGGTGTGGAGGGTTACAGGATAAAGAATGATGTAACAACAATCCTCTCAGACTATTACATATATACATTTCTGTTGTGTTATTTTGTCCATCTATAGACGAATATAACGCTCATTGTGAGTATAAATGGTCATTTAAACTTCATCATTATCACTATGTCTTTTGTTTCTGTTGTTGTCGACAAATGTCTATATGTTATATGTGCTATATGTGTGAATTTACTTTGCATGCTCTTCTTATAGCCTTCCTCTTGGAAATGTAGATTTGAAAGTGCATACACTCGTTGCTGGCATAATCTTTTCTTTTATATTCTCTCTTGTTATGATGATTACAAAATGCCTCGCCAAGACTTGATATTATATTGAATTCGCAATTTTCAAGAATGACCACAAATTTTGTCCGCGTTTTGCTCTTTTGCTGACTTCTCATTTACCAAGAAAGAAATAAACTTTAATCGAACCATGTCCATCCGTCCGTGCAGAACAAACCTTTTTATTTTGAGAAGTACATAGTAAGACGATACTGCGGTAAAGAATTCATCGAAGCCATTATAATTTCGTACCATATGCTCTTGATTTTTTTTCGAAATACTTTTACTTTGTAGTATTTTCGGCTCGATTTGCGTTCTTGTGCAGGTCTACATCACTCAGATTGTAGGTGTACTAAATTAGCTTTAGTAAAATATGAAATAAGTTTGATGAGCAAACAAAATTTTCGAATCATGCCTATCTGGAATGAATCAAGGATATTTTCATTATTTAAAATTCGATATCAAAATATGAGTGGAGATTAGCTATTAATCAAAACTAAACTTTCAAACATTTATTAACTCTTAAAAACATTTTTGTGATAAACATATTGCCATTACTATCTGCATTTCGTTGTGATATTTTCCATAGTATTATTATTGTTGTTTGCATTATTTAGTTCTAACTGAAAAATTTTGATTTCAGACAATTTTCTCTGTTGGTGACATAATATGCTTCGAATCACCGTTAACAGTGTCATCGACTTGGAGTAGTTCGGATGAGCAAATTCTAACGATTGATAGATATACGGGTAAGTAAATAAGTATATGAAGGAAAATAGCGCAGTCCTTTAAAGGTTCTATCGAATCAAAAAAATCAAAGATGTTTTTCCAAACTGCAACTGGCGTTGCGATTTTTTTTCTTCACCTATTTTCGTCATCGATTATTGGAAATTATATTTTGTTGCCAAAGAAAGCTTTTATTTGCCAGACCGTATCCGTTTTGATGTAAACCATTTTCAAAAGGTTTTGCGCTTGGACTAAAATACATCAGTACACTAGATTTTGTCAAAAAATATTTCAATAATCGTGGCCGGACATCAGAAGAAAACCTTGACGTACAGACAGACAGACTTGTAGATTGACGGACAGACAAGATTATACGGAGATAAGTGGAGAGACGTGGATTCAGAAACTTAATCTATTACCGATTGGCGAGCAATTGTTTCAGAAAGTCATCTTCCAAAGCGTTTTTAGTTCGAACTTAGCAAGTAAGCACCTATCTTGCCAATAACTTTCTTTCACCCAAAACCTATAAATGCAAGAACTTGAACTCTCGCTTATACGAGATACCTGTGGCCTCGACCTGAATCGTCTCGGATTAACTAGAGGCCCTCCATAACGATTTTATCGCGTTTAACCTTAAACCACAAATTTTCGTTAAGAAAAACGAAGTTGCGTTCAGTTTACGCTTCATTGCTCTACTCGTTTTAGTCCATTTTCAATACCAACCTGCGTCCTATGTTTCTACCGAATTTTACGTCGACAGCAGGAGATTGCCAAAAACTAACACCGTGCAGACACAACAACGGACAGACATGGCTTAACCAATTTAAAATTCGCACTAATCAAGAGTATGTATACCTTATAGGGTGTCTGAAGTTTCCCGCATACATTGTTAAAAAAAAACGAAATGAGTATACCCCCATCCTTCAGTGGTGGGCATAAGAATTGTATTTTGTATTTTAAGTGGATAGCTAACAGTTCGATTCACATATGATGAGATTCGTGTAAAAAAAGTGTATGGAAAAGTATAAAAATTACAATAGGAAATCGATAGAAATCATTATTTTTAGTCATATTTCTTTCTTGACTTGAATGCATATATATATATGTATTTTAAAACTAAACTACAAACTTAAAATTAGTCCAGAAGGGTAACTGTAAGGAGTGTCGTAAGCTATCAACTCGGGGTTCCAGGAGAAACGTCCGCCATAATTAATTTAGAATTAACATATTTAGCTTGCGGCATTCTACTCTTCAAGTCCTTTTATATGATACCCATATTAACGGCCTTTTTAAGAAAAAATTAGTCTACTATG